CGATAAAATTTTGGTACACGAGGTAGGCTAGTGTAAATATATATAGATTCTAGGCTCCTATATATGTGATTTTGTACCCAAAACAAATTAAATTGTACCCAAAATACTTTGTGAATTTGTACCTAAGAAAATAAGACAATAGATCTATAATTATATTTATGTTTTCATGTAGATGAACAGAACACATGATAAAATAATTCATCAAGTTCCAAATATGATTATGACTGTGATCCTTGAAATTGATTGTTTAGTGTTGAGAGAAAATTGACGTCTTGTCACTGAAGGAGAGGCCAGTTAGGTTGGTTAAACCTAAGTTAGAATGAATTGTTTTGATAGGAAAGTGATATTATGTTAAGTTTAAGACACCAAATTAATGTATATCTTTGAAATAAGTCTAGGTAGATCTACAAAATCACATACCCATTTGGGTAACAAATTACTAGAAATTTTGGGTACAAAAGTCACCACTATACATTTCAACTGATTTTCGTGAATCAATGGGATAAAAAATTTCGTCTGAATGATTCCTTTTCTCATTTTTTAAGACAAGAATTTGTTTTACATAACAAAACAGGCAGATCTACACGGATCACGTTTAGTGCTAAAAATGTGAAAAATATGGACACCTCAGAAATGAGGGCTTATAAGTATAATTCTACCTAACTAGTCACATGGTTTGACTTAGATCTAGGTCTATCTAAGAAAAGTCCTTATGAAAATCTTTTTTTATTTTTTTTATGACACTGACATTTCTGGCACTTAGACAAAGAGTATTCAAGGAAAGACAGATATGTTTTTGAATGAAAATATGACTTCTCTTTATAATTCTTTTTTCATGATGACAGGGGAATTTTTATACACACCAGCTGAGGAAGTTGTGACACTGTGATTGCATACAAAGAAAAAACAGGTTGGAAGCAGTACCTGTATGTATGAAAAAGACCACATAAGGTGAACAAAAGTAATGGATTGGCTGACTGGAAAAAATACATCTGGCAAGGGTAAACATGTACACAGGCATGTTTCTTTTCATTCCAACCAGGAGACTGAGATAGCATTTTCTAAGAAACCTATGGCAAACTTACCAGCTCATGTGCCACCATGGTTCTTGTGATTAAACAAACAAAAATGTCATGTACTGTTACAAGTACTGTTACTGTAATTAAATTAAATTAATTCCTATTAAATTATATTTCAGAATTGTTTTATTTGGAAACAAACCACATAATGCACAAGATTAATGTCCATATGAGTTTAGTATGTATATGTTAAGGATCTGATTTATTCATTATTCATGGAATACTAAAATTAAAATGATGACATCAGAGAGTTACTTATTCACATAGTTGATTTTCAGAGTGCAAGATAATAATTGTTGAATAAATATGTTTAAACTAAAGATAATAATTGAAGTTTGATCAGTTACACTGTGCTGATGCAAAGACTAATATTTACTGTCCCAACACACCATCATTGTGGGAAAAATAACTATTAAATATAACTTAAAATTTTAAAACCTGTAAACAGCTGTAAATAATTAAACAATTACAAATCTATCATCAATACGCAATCATGGTGGTCTTCATATTTTTGGAAAAAATTTAGAAATCCTTCGTGTAACTGTTCTAGAATCATGCTAGAATGTATTCCCGAAAGGAAAACTATCCTAAATGTAATGTGGAACTAACACCGAAAATATGTACGTAGCATTTTATTGCTTATATATACCCTATCATATTCAGCAACGCGGGTATGTTATTTTGAAACACGTTTTGTCAAGCCCAGTTTCGCGCACCTGTTGTTGAGGGTGATCTTGCTGATCGACGATATCCATAGACGTATTACGTGGGATACACTTGTTGTATTGAAACTTATCAGCGTGTACATCGCAGAAATATGAATCATATCCCATTTATATTCACAACACTGAATGGTGATTCTTAAATATCAACAGAAGTTCAAATAAAAGATACCGAGAAACTTGCATGTGGCATGTTGATTTATCGTCTACCGTTTCCGGGTCACGGGAGCATGCAAGGTCAAACGGATTAACTAATACGCGAATTATATCGTCAAAGTCACATTTTTATTTCATGTTAGTGGTGATTACTGATACTGTGTATCGACTTATATTTTTGCTCTATGTGATAGGCGAACTATTTCAAAATTGACTGTAATTGTTTTGTTTCGAAAGCTTATCAGCAGACTACCCCTGTCTGTGACATCACATCCGGTGACCTTTGCACTTATTGAAATAGTGCTGTCAGAATTCACGATCTTTATTTTCATTTTTCTCTCGTCATATTTATTGGAATATGACGAAGAAAACATTCTTCGATTGAGAAGATCGTCAACTTTCGCCAAGTTATATTTATAAAGGCAATGTAAACTTTGTTGATATTAAAATAGCAATAAGTTATGAGGAGGTCGGGCGAAGCGCGCCATGTTTCATTTTAGGACGTCTGCTAGCATCATGACACGGGTTGTTTATTTTTGTATATCGTAAATATTCAACCAAAACGCTTGAAATTAGGATTAGTGAATATTTATAAGTCATTAATTGTTTCCTGCAAATTTTATAAAATGGCACGTCAGATTAACCCGAATATTCGTATTTCTGCAACCGACAAGATGACCTCGAAAATTATGATATTTTTCTGTTTAACGTTTAGATAATAAATTCACTGAAATGGTTCATAATTTACCATCGCGCTGATATATGCCGATTATAAAACCCGAATTTTTACTCAATTAAAATTAAGATATCGGAGATATGATTATTGAAATCAATTTGCACAAATGTTACGATATTAAAAGGTTCCTAGCATGAAATGCAAACCACCTTCAATAACGCAATTCAGGTAAGTTCAAGAAAATTTACAAATTTTGTGTTCGCTTTGGTCTTAACCTTGGTATGATTGAAAACATCAGGATATTTTTATATAGAATTGTGTAGTTTTCTATCAGGAATAAATGTGCAAAATATTCCTTCAATTGGCCCTTGTTTAACAAGAAAACATTGATGCAGAGCATCAAAGTTCCCCGCCATATGTGATGCCTCACAAACGCAGACCTATTCTAACCTGGGTCTTTATTTAAAAAGTAGATCGAAGGAAATGGAAGCAATTTCTTGCACAAATGTAAACATGTGGAAATAGTATCAAAACTGCCAACAACATTGGCAGATGCACATACTCAAATAATAGATCACATTCTTTTTACACTTGGCATTTGGTTATAATAATGTAAATGAAAATACTAAGGGCTCCATATGGCATAAGGTCCATTGGTAACAACTCAAAATATCACGTAGTTGGAGAACATTTCAATACCGGGACTAATCAATAACGGAGATTCCTCGTCTCTTGCTTTACGTTTTTGGGTCAGTTTCTTTTTTGTATTTCTTTCTTTCAAAGAATAGTAATTGTGATCATGATGAGTTGAGTTACTTGTTTTTTTTCTGTGTACTGTTTTTTATCCAGTGTCAGTAACTGTTGTGGAATGTGGTTTACGTGTAACAATGACTGGTTTGAGTTCATATGATGATGATTGATTGGTTTGTCGTTTAACGCCGCACTCAGCAATATCCCAGCTATATGACGGCGTTCTGTAAATAATCGAGTCTGGACCAGACCATCCAGTGCCTAATATCATGAGCATCGATCCACGCAATTGGGATCGATGCCATGCATCAACCAAAGCCTGGCCATCCGATCCCGTTTGTCGCCACTCACGACAAGCATAGTCGCCTGATATACTGTTAAGATGTAACATAACAATTCATCTATACTACTAAACAGAAGTAAAACCGCTTGTCCATTCGGATCAATCTGACCCAAACCATTCCGCTGATGAGAGTCAAATAATGCATACGAATCAAAATCCGTAAAAAATTGCAATGGAGACATCACTGAAAGTTACCAAAAGTGACGGGGATATCAATATCGCTATTTGAAATGATTCTATGAAATTTGTTTTCCCTGCTTCAATATTTGGAGCACCTGTGACGGAGCCATAAAATTGATCTGTTATGTAGACAATATCGTTTGGGGGAATGGCTGCTGGGAACTGATTATGACCTAAATACCCCTCATAGCCTTCGGTGTTAACTATGTGACTGTAGAGAGCTGTGCCTTCATCCCACAGATTATCGAGGTCAGTGGAACACGGTACAGACGCAAATAGGTTTGAGCCATGGGACACAAAATATATGAGTGACCAGAGCTACGGCTGTACATTGAATTCCATTAAACGGTTGAAAAATACTACAGCCTTGATGCAAATTCGCCGACACACTACTCCGATTTTGCTTTGACTTTGCTGCCAAACGTTTCACATGTGGCTGTGTGCGGTGCACTGATTAAAAAACACGGGGGACTGGTTTAATTCAAAATACGGAATATAACTATTCCAAATATTTCCAGTGAACATGAGCATCAAAACAATCAAAAGTGTGGTATGTAGAATGTGGAATTCAGCCATATTACATTTAAATTGAGATGTCGTCGTTGTTCATGAATAAGCATATTCAGAACATAATTTTTATTATACTGTTATTTACGAACTCCGGAGCACAGTTCTTCTTTTGTATACACCGTGAAAATCAGAAAATTAGTCCTTGAGGAAAAAAGGACATCGGATTACACATGAATGGTTTAATAATGTCAGTTAATGACCAGAAACGGTCAGATGCATCAATTAACTACATAAAGACGATTTTAAAGTATCTCTTTTTGCTGGAAAAGAACAGCATCAACATTCCACGCACATGATTTGTATGTTTTGTTTCCGTGAATGCGTGGCTTGAAATTTCAAATAAACCAACATGTCGACATACATGCTACAAAATTAACGTTTCCCGTATACTTCCCCGCCTTAAGGGCGGGGAAGAATGAGGCACCGACTGTTTGAAATCACCCACCCTCTTTAGAGCGCCTTATGCTAAAATTAATCCAGCAGGCAGGGGTAAGAAGTGTGAAAATAACACCAACCCACGTAAACATAAATATTTTTGACGTCATGGAATGGAAAGACAAAGTTAGGAATATTTTCAATGTGATATTTATGTTGTATACGTGTGTAACGGCCCGTTTTGACTAGGCCCATTTTGACTAACCGATCCACAATTTTATTTCAACCCACTTTCTGCGGGCCACTTTACCAGTTGATACAAAACTGTGAGAAGTTTTTCGACGAACAAAGAAAAAAATGGAAATTACGTGTTAATATTGTAGAATAAATTTTATTTGCGATATCAGACTCTTACAAACATACAACAATGTTGGGCCAATGATGTTCCAACATTCTAAAGTATTACCCAGCTATGAAACCATTCATGTGTCGCAAAGAGAACATTGATAGTGGGCAGCAAAACGTATTAAGAGTTACCTCCCTTGATAATGCGAAGGAGCCGTCTGGCATAAGGTAGATCTATATTTGTTTATGCTTTTTCAATAGCGCATTGTTTGATTTTAACCTGTCCTACGAAGCCTGTGAATGTTGTAAACTTATGACCAGATAGTAAAGGTCTGTTTCTTATTTAGCACGCCAGGCGTCCTCACACACTGATTAGATCAAGGCCCTTTCAGTGTCACGATGTTTGAACTGTACGAAATCTCGCTTGCAACAAGCCTTCGAGTAACGTTACCAGTGATACAGATCGTCCAATCTTTAGGATATTTGCCTACCCATTGTCACAAATGTCCCATTGATTTTGCAGAAATTATACAGCAGTCTATGGGAATGTCCTATTGAAAATTCTAAACATCAGAGATTTTCCAAGAAATGTCCTATTGTCATTTTCCTCAGCTACGTAGATCTAACATAGCTTGTCTGTTCAGAGTTAATAACAATGTTTTTGTGTGACATTAGACATGTGACTGTTTACAGTTCAGTAGACATATTGTGCTGTTGACTTATTTTGTGCACATAGGAATTTATTTTACCTTTTACCCTAACTGTGTATTTGACTGAGGTAATAGCCAAGTGTACATTTTATAAAATAGATATAAACTGGTTAGAAGTGATACATGTATATGTATCATGTATATATGTATGGTCTTTTGTAGAATTTATTTTGCTTGTATTTCATACACACTAGTGTAACGGTGGATATGTAATATATCTATATGTAGTATACTTATTTGTGCAGGGCTATTCACTGTACATCAATAAAGGAGGTTCCAGCCTGCGTCCCTGAGACAAGGTATGCATGATTAACTATGTATAGACTGTACTTTGTTTTATCTGGAAGGATTTGTTCAAATATATATGCCAAAAGTAAGTAACTATAGATCTAAATGTATTATTATTATTGTTGTTATCTTGTGCCTTTATACTGTCCATACCCATGATATTTATATCAAATTATGTATGTTTTAGGGCAGATCCGGACTATCGTGAAGTTCTCACTCTACGCCCATTGAAAATAAATCCCTTCTGACCCAACAAGTACTCCCTTATCTTTGAGACGACCAGAGTACCGCTGTTACATTTATTTTTTCAAAAAGCAGCTTTTTTTTGTAAGCCCCACTCATCATCACTGAGCACAACCTGCTGAAAATGATCTTACGTTTATTGATTCAATTTTTTTCTTCAGGAAATAAATGATGTGACAATACAAAAATATACCATCATTCAGTTTAAAAAACGTTTCTATCATTCAATATTTAACAATATAATAGCAAGTACTTTAGAAAAACCTGTAAAATGAAGTCAAAATCTGAAATTTCATTTTAGGATGGAGCAGTTTAGCCTGATGGTGTATTTTAAGGCAAGTAGCAAAAAGAAAAATAATATCCTTTATAAATCATCTCATTATTAGACTTGAGCCAATTTGGTCCACTTTTTAAAATTCAGTCAAAATTTAAAAATTCAATCTCGGTTGTTGCTGTTTTGTCTGGTGATGTGTATTTAGGCGCGGATATATAAAAGAAGGAAAAATAATATCCTAACATCACCAATTAATGGGACTTTAGACAATTTGATCCAATTTCAGAAATTTGGAAAATATTTTTAAATTCAGTCCAAATTTGATAATTCAATCTGTGATGTAGCTGTTATGTCTCATGATGTGTTTTAAGGCAACGAATGAATAGGAAAAAAGGAAAAATAATATCCCTTGAAATATTCAGTTTCTGGGACTTTAGCCAATTTGGTCCAGTTTCAGTAATTTGGAAAATATCTTTAAAATTCAGTCAAAATTTAAAAATTCAATTTGAAATGTTGCAGTTCTGTCTGATGATGTGTATTTAAGCGAGGAGTAGGTATTAAAAAAGACAAAATATCCATTGGACTCATCAATTTATGGGATTTTAGCATCACATACTTTATTTTTTTCATTTCAGGTTTCTCCATGTGAATAGAACAGATTCGTCCGCATTCAGAAGTTTCACCACAGTCATGCAGAAAATTCATTCTGGGATGTTGTCGTTAAGTCTGGTTATGTGTATTTAGGCAAGGTATAAACATAAAAGAAGAGAAAATTATATCCTTTGAAATCATCAGTTTATGGAACTTTAGCCAATTTGGTCCAATTTCAGTACTGTGAAAAAATCTCTAAAATTCAGTCAAAATTTGAAAATGCAATCCGGGATGTTGCCGTTTAGTCTGGTTATGTGTATTTAGGCAAGGTATAAACATAAAAGAAGAGAAACATATATCCTTTGAAATCATCAGTTTATGGAACTTTAGCCAATTTGGTCCAATTTCAGTACTGTGAAAAAATCTTCAAAATTCAGTCAAAAAATTGAAATTTCATTTTTTGATGAAGCAGTTTAGTCTTACAATGTATTTTATGGCAAGAAACAAATAGAAAAAAGAATAAAAATTAATTCTTTGAAATCACCTCATTATTGGACTTTAGCCAATTTGGTCCAATTTCAGTAATTTGGAATAAATCTGTAAAATTCAGTCCAAATTTAAAAATTCATTCTGGGATGTTGCCATTTAGTCTTGTTATGTGTATTTAGGCAAGGTATACATATAAAAGAAGAGAAAAATATATTCTTGGAAATCATCAGTTTATGGGACTTTAGCCAATTTGGTCCAATTTCAGTACTGTGAAAAAACCTGTAAAATTCAGTCAAAATTTAAAAATTAATTCTGGGATGTTGCCGTTTAGTCTGGTTATGTGTATTTAGGCAAGGTATACATATAAAAGAAGAGAAAATTATATTCTTGGAAATCATCAGTTTATGGGACTTTAGCCAATTTGGTCCAATTTCAGTACTGTGAAAAAATCTCTAAAAATCAGTCAAAATTTGAAAAATTCATTCTGGTATGTTGCCATTAAGTCTGGTTATGTGTATTTAGGCAAGGTATACATATAAAAGAAGAGAAAATTATATTCTTGGAAATCATCAGTTTATGGGACTTTAGCCAATTTGGTCCAATTTCAGTACTGTGAAAAAACCTGTAAAATTCAGTCAAAAATTGAAATTTCATTTTTTGATGAAGCAGTTTAGTCTTACAATCCATTTAAGGCAAGAAACAAATAGAAAAAAGAATAAAAATTATATCCTTTGAAATCACCTCATTATTGGACTTTAGCCAATTTGGTCCAATTTCAGTAATTTGGAATAAATCTGTAAAATTCAGTCCAAATTTAAAAATTCATTCTGGGATGTTGCCATTTAGTCTTGTTATGTGTATTTAGGCAAGGTATACATATAAAAGAAGAGAAAAATATATTCTTGGAAATCATCAGTTTATGGGACTTTAGCCAAATTGGTCCAATTTCAGTACTGTGAAAAAACCTGTAAAATTCAGTCAAAATTTAAAAATTAATTCTGGGATGTTGCCGTTTAGTCTGGTTATGTATATTTAGGCAAGGCATAAACATAAAAGAAGAAAAATTATATCCTTTGAAATCATCAGTTTATAGGACTTTAGCCAATTTGGTCCAATTTCAGTACTGTGGAAGAATCTTCAAAATTCAGTCCAAATTTGAAATTTCATTAATATGATGGAGCAGTTTAGTCTTGTAATGTATTTTAAGGAAAGGAACAAATAGAAAAAAAACACAAAAAAATCATATGCTTTGAAATCATCTCAATACTGAACTTTAGCCAATTTGGTCCACTTTCAGTAATTTTGAAAACATCTGTAAAATTCAGTCAAAATTTAAAAATTCATTCTGGGATGTTGCCATTTAGTCTGGTTATGTGTATTTAGGCAAGGTATACATATAAAAGAAGAACAAAATATATTCTTGGAAATCATCAGTTTATGGGACTTTAGCCAATTTATTCCAATTTCAGTACTGTGAAAAAATCTTCAAAATTTAGTCCAAATTTAAAAATTCATTCTGGGATGTTGCCATTAAGTCTGGTTATTTGTATTTAGGCAAGGTATACATATAAAAGAAGAAAAAAATATATTCTTGGAAATCATCAGTTTATGGGACTTTAGCCAATTTATTCCAATTTCAGTACTGTGAATAAATCTTCAAAATTTAGTCCAAATTTAAAAATTCATTCTGGGATGTTGCCATTAAGTCTGGTTATGTGTATTTAGGCAAGCTATACATATAAAAGAAGAGAAAATTATATTCTTGGAAATCATCAGTTTATGGGACTTTAGCCAATTTGGTCCAATTTCAGTACTGTGAAAAGATCTTCAAAGTTTAGTCCAAATTTAAAAATTCATTCTGGGATGTTGCCATTAAGTCTGGTTATGTGTATTTAGGCAAGGTATACATATAAAAGAAGAGAAAATTATATTCTTGGAAATCATCAGTTTATGGGACTTTAGCCAAATTGGTCCAATTTCAGTACTGTGAAAAAACCTGTAAAATTCAGTCAAAATTTAAAAATTAATTCTGGGATGTTGCCGTTTAGTCTGGTTATGTGTATTTAGGCAAGGTATACATATAAAAGAAGAGAAAATTATATTCTTGGAAATCATCAGTTTATGGGACTTTAGCCAATTTGGTCCAATTTCAGTACTGTGAAAAAACCTGTAAAATTCAGTCCAAATTTAAAAATTAATTCTGGGATGTTGCCGTTTAGTCTGGTTATGTGTATTTAGGCAAGGTATACATATAAAAGAAGAGAAAATTATATTCTTGGAAATCATCAGTTTATGGGACTTTAGCCAATTTGGTCCAATTTCAGTACTGTGAAAAAACCTGTAAAATTCAGTCAAAATTTAAAAATTAATTCTGGGATGTTGCCGTTTAGTCTGGTTATGTGTATTTAGGCAAGGTATACATATAAAAGAAGAGAAAATTATATTCTTGGAAATCATTAGTTTATGGGACTTTAGTCAATTTGGTCCAATTTCAGTACTGAAAAAACCTGTAAAATTCAGTCCAAATTTAAAAATTCATTCTGGGATGTTGCCATTAAGTCTGGTTATGTGTATTTAGGCAAGGTATACATATAAAAGAAGAGAAAAATATATTCTTGGAAATCATCTGTTTATGGGACTTTAGCCAATTTGGTCCAATTTCAGTACTGTGAAAAGATCTTCAAAGTTTAGTCCAAATTTAAAAATGCAATCTGGGATGTTGCCATTTAGTCTGGTTATGTGTATTTAGGCAAGGTATACATATAAAAGAAGAGAAAAATATATTCTTGGAAATCATCAGTTTATGGGACTTTAGCCAATTTGGTCCAATTTCAGTACTGTGAAAAAATCTTCAAAATTTAGTCCAAATTTAAAAATTCATTCTGGTATGTTGCCATTAAGTCTGGTTATGTGTATTTAGGCAAGGTATACATATAAAAGAAGAGAAAAATATATTCTTGGAAATCATCAGTTTATGGGACTTTAGCCAATTTGGTCCAATTTCAGTGCTGTGAAAAAACCTGTAAAATTCAGTCAAAATTTGAAAATTCATTCTGGGATGTTGCCATTTAGTCTGGTTATGTATATTTAGGCAAGGTATAAACATAAAAGAAGAAAAATTATATCCTTTGAAATCATCAGTTTATAGGACTTTAGCCAATTTGGTCCAATTTCAGTACTGTGGAAGAATCTTCAAAATTCAGTCCAAATTTGAAATTTCATTAATATGATGGAGCAGTTTAGTCTTGTAATGTATTTTAAGGAAAGGAACAAATAGAAAAAAAACACAAAAAAATCATATGCTTTGAAATCATCTCAATACTGAACTTTAGCCAATTTGGTCCACTTTCAGTAATTTTGAAAACATCTGTAAAATTCAGTCAAAATTTAAAAATTCATTCTGGGATGTTGCCATTTAGTCTGGTTATGTGTATTTAGGCAAGGTATACATATAAAAGAAGAACAAAATATATTCTTGGAAATCATCAGTTTATGGGACTTTAGCCAATTTATTCCAATTTCAGTACTGTGAAAAAATCTTCAAAATTTAGTCCAAATTTAAAAATTCATTCTGGGATGTTGCCATTAAGTCTGGTTATGTGTATTTAGGCAAGGTATACATATAAAAGAAGAAAAAAATATATTCTTGGAAATCA